CCTTTTCAGAATTATAATATTGATGAGAAACTACTGGTCATTATTCCGACAAGGAAAAGGTTTGAGAGTGAGAGCCATACACTGAGTGAGATAATAAAATTTACTATCGAGTTGAAAGATCGTCGAATATGTGCGCATACTGGCCTCATTTAAAACGTATCGCACGAAATGATAATTTATGTGAGTTGCAAAAATAGTATAAAATTTGCCTATCCTTGACGTTTTAAAGATGGAAATTATGACAAATTAGACCTCCTCTTAAATGCATTTTAGTTTGCAAATTTTGCTGAATTTCTGGGAATTAGAGTTGAGAGATGCGACAGGATTTTAACTTGGAGTCAATGTGCTTATATTTATACCTACAGTTTTGAAGAAGTTTAATATGGCTGACTGTAGTGCCGTTGACACCCCACTTCCAAGTAAATTAGAGTTTGTAGAACTTAATTCAGTTGAAGGGAACGGCGCACCCTCTCAGAACCTCATTGGGTGTTTGATGTACATAATGATATGCACAAGACCTGATTTGTGCGCTGCAATAAGTATTTTATGCGGATATACAAGCAAGAACAATAAGATCTTGTGGCAATAATACTTAAATGAGGGTGTTAAGATACCTAAAAGGCTCAAGGAATTTGAAATTGACCTAATTGTCAAATTGACCTAATTGAATTGTTGTTGTTGTTCTGATTGGGCAACAGATGAAAACGATAGAAAGAGCATGACGTGTGACGTCCAAATCTCGTCGCGAAAATTACATTGCAAGAAGCAATGCATTTTTTTTTGGTTTGAATTGGGCATGTCTTCTTCTATACTGTGTTTATGATAGAATTTAAATTTGGAACGAAACTAAACAGTTTGTGTCCAGAAAGGTATCACGCTTTGTTTAGGTCAACTCAGCAGTAAAATGGCATCATAAGTGAATGGTAAAAGCCGTAATAGATAAAGCTTGTGTAATGTTCATTGCAGTAAAATTATATGAAGCATTTCACAAATGGATATAAAGTGCGGGATGCAGAGAAGAAAATGTTTGTCTCGGAGTATAGTAATTGTCGATGAGACAAAGAACCTGTGTTAAAGTGCTCTGTGGATGTAGAGAATGAGATGAAAAACTGATGTATCTGACTGTGAGTCAAAATCAGATCTCATGCAAGAAAAACTGATGCATCTGACTGTGAGTCAAAATCAGATCTCATGCAAGAAAAACTGATGCATCGGACTGTGAGTCAAAATCAGAGCTTCATGAGGAACCACGAGCGTCAACTGAGGAATGGATGTCTAGCTCTCTAGAGAAGAAAACAGGGTGTTGTCGAGACCCATGTGGAGATGAATAGAGGATGGAATCTCTATGGCTGTGTTTAGCTCACTGATTATAATCCAAGATGATTTTTTGATCAGACATAAAGCGTGGAAAGTGAAAAATGAAAATTTGTGTGAGTCATGTTATCCGCAAGATACATTACATAATATCGAGATTCGTAGTAAAATTTCGAGTGACCGAAGTTAGTCAATAGGAAACTAATGAATCTGAAAATTATAGTGAATAGGAAACCGATAAATCTGGTAATAAAATCAGAATTGTTCTTAAACTTGATACTTTAGTTAACTCTGGAAAATTTAAAGTCTTGTAAGCGACTCAAAAGCAAATGATTGGTGTATAGTCCACAAGACTTACTCAAACTCTAGACGTGACGCGTGCTTGAAACAGAAGAGAATGTGAAAGTAAAATGGAGGGAAACTCTATGATAATCTTGACTTCTGAGCACTTAACTTAAAAACTATCATAAGCACAGTAATGCCATCGACATGACGAAGTTAAAATGGAGATACTGAAATAATTTTGAAGTGAGAGACGGATCACTAAGATTGCAATAGTATTTCAAAGAAAACACATTGATGATAAATATCATATTATAGGGAGCAGATTGTTAAAAGAGTAATTGATGCAAAATATTTTTCCTACAGGTAATCAACTGGATGATATGTTAACAAAACCTGTGTCTGTTGGCAAATTCAAGAAACTGATTGTGAGACTGGGACTCAGACTTCAGCAAGATCAAAATTTGAAGTTCAAGTCAAAATTTGTCGAGAAAATTCTATTTGTGATGTTTGTTTTAGAATAAGGTCTGGTGAGGTTTTTCTGGGTTTCCCTCATCCGTTGCAACAAATGTTGGACCTGTATGTTGTTCCCAGTTAGCATCTATTCATAATGGAATTAATTTTTGAGGAGGCGAGTTGAAATAGGGCAATGCCGTGAGAGCAAAAATTAATACGTATAATATCAGCTGAGCTCTTTTTAGATTTTTTCATAACCTCTGGTGCACCCTTATTAAATGAATGTGCACTGCAAGTGAATTGTTCTCATTCTAAATAACCCTTTATCCCAACGACGGCTCCCTAGCCAGCCTGAAACAGCCAGTATTATAAGAAACACCCACATTAATACACCGATTGTGGGTTTTACATATTTTCAATTCAGTTATGCTAATTTCTTTGGGAATTTTTTGTCTGTTTTATTCAAGCTTTTGTTATTCCTCTTTTATTAAATCTCTATTCTAGAGAAATTTAATCGGGTAGTTACATGATGCAAGCCATCAAATTTTATTTTATTTAGTCTAAAACTTTAGTAAACTGATTACTTTTATAAAGTTAGAAGCTATATTATATAAAGCTTTTAATTGTTAGAATAATAAAAAAGGACTGACTTTTATTTAGGACTGGAATTATTTGTGGGACTGACTTCGAAAATGCATTTATTTTTCTCTTTATTTTTGCCTTGATCTTTCCCCCTATTTCTCACTCCCTACTAAATGTTGACAATTTGATCTCTCTCAATATTTAAGATCTCTCTCAATATTTAAAGTATTAGAGGCTTTAATAAACTGTTTAAACACCTTCGCGATGGATTTATCAACTGGCCATAGACACATTTTGTTTGAAAAAACAAATTTTTTCTGTTTCTTTCTTTTAATTCTTAATTCTGAGCTGTGAATGAGAGTGTGACTGTGGCGGCAAGCTACCCGCTCTGCCAATCAGCGCAGCTTATAGCTACAGACACGGCTTTATGAGTTTTAAGCTCACCACCTCAGCTCACTTTGCTCCCATCAGTCACACGGATCACACCTCACCTAGCAAGCAGACGTCATGCAGCCAGCCGGCTCCCCCTTTTCAATGGCCCTTCTTCGGGAATCCACTTCATAGGGCACCACATCTGGTCATTAGCCATATAAAGTTCAAGGGTGTGACTAAAAATCATGTTTCTTACCGTTGTTTACAGGGCCGGATTTACCTACTTGCCGCCCCTTCCTCATTCATTTCGAAACATCAATAAAAACCATCAAGTGAACGAGCCAAAGGAAGGGAGGGGTGCATCAGACGCGTTTACTCGTGTTGGGCACATTTTTTCCGTAAGCCCTGTCAGCACTACCAGCAAAAGTTCACGGAACTTTGCGTGAAAGGTAAGTTCCGTAAACCTATCTCTGTGTAAACAAGGCCTTCCATTTGTAAGAAATGAACGTAAAAATGATGCAAGAACAAAATTAAATGTGATTTAGTAATTTTAACTTCCATCGCCGCGCCGCACTGTTCGCACTGTCTTTGGCGCAATGCGTGAAGGATTCCTACAGTCTTGCAGGCGCTATACGTTTCACGCCGACTGCCGCTGAACGCACTGCGTTTGACGCAATACAAGAAGTATTCATGCAGTCTTGTAGGTGCTAATATGTGTTACAAACCGGCTGCCGCACAGTGAATTGAGTAAATTAGAGAAGTCGGACAAGGAATTTTTGACAAAATCTGCATATGTTGATGTTTATTTCATCACATTTTGAAGTTAAAGGGGTGCTACTGGAAGAAAATTTCACGAGAAAACCAATGGAACCATTTGCAGAACATCAGATTCTTGTATAAACAAAGTTATAAGCGTTTAAAGTTTCCAAATTTTGTCCGACCTCTCTCATTGACTTGATTCACCGTGCGCCTCGCTGAGGGCTTCTCCTTTTCATTTCAAGTCCTCATCATCATTGCTCTCTGCGCCGCTCCATGCCAAATTGCGTGTTAGGTTTCTCTGTTAATTCGACTAATTAAAGGTGCTGTTTCTTGTGTCACCAAAAGAAGCTTTTTTCTTTTGTAATTTTTTTTCAGAATCCGATTTTTTTATACCTACATTTAAAAAAATGCAAAATTTACCGCTCCCTAAATTTGTCCCCATGAGCCGCAGCCCATGTGGCCACTCCCTTAATCCTGGTTGTTTGGGAAAACAATACACAAACAACTTGTCTCCAATCACTAAGCATTTGTTCCAGAGCAATGTTGCTTTAGGAGTTTCCAAATATTGTGCACAAAAATAAACCTGCCCCTACAACACAATACAACTTCGAACAACATAAGATTGTTGCTTGGTTTCAGCTGCTGTTGCAAGCGTTGTTTGCAAACAAAATATGTCTCATAAGTACAAAAAACACATCAGCATTTCTCCAGTTATTTTTGATACCAAAATTGGAGGGTCAGAGATTTATTGGAAGAAAAATTCCTTAGTTAATTACTGGAAGCAAACCTTAAAATCAAAGAATTAAATTAATAGAAACTTGGACATTTAGAATTGAAAAACATGCAATCTGGAGTCCCCACTCGAGAACAGAAATAAATCAAATGAGGAAAATTTTAAGGTTCAACTGAATTTAAACCAGGCCACTAGTTCAAACTGTTCGTGGGTTCGCCCTGCCTTAGTACAGATATAGAGCTGATATTGCCTGCATTCTTAAGAAGATAAAAAAACACACACACAAAAGAGCATCATGCATCATCTAAGCACTCATTGAGAGGAGAATCCCTGCTTGAAAAAAAAGAGCTGACGCATGGATTGAGGACTTGAGTACAGTTACTAATTTTCGTTTTTAAAATGTTCCATTGAGTGATGCCTTTGGATGACAAAATTATCTGCGCACGAAAGTTCAGTGGATGCATGGATTTTCACATTACTTCAATAAGGTGCTGAAATGTACCTGAATTTAAGAAGGATCTCCATTTTTTGCCAAGATCATTTAGTGTGCTGTCTTCGAGATCATTGGTGACAGCATTCAGAACAAATTCAAAATCAGAGGGGTTGACATCAGAGACAAACCATGGTTGGGATTTAGCATGAAATCTGATTTTATTCACTAATTTGGATGAGATCAGATAGTCTGCTAGGATCAAATCAGTGAAAAGCTCATATCCAGCGTTGTCTAAGACAATATCTGGAAAAGTTGAAGATATATTTATGAGTAGAGCATTAGCAATCAGAATATTAGAGATCAAAAGAGAAAAGATAAAATCAGCACACATACACATAATCGCTTAATAGCACTCCCTGGCGCTCTACAACACCTGACCTCTACTATCCTCTGTCGAACCACAACCCTTCGGGCATTGATCACCTTGACATTTCTGCTTCAATCCCATCCCTACAACCTCTCATTGGGCGCCCTCTGCGCCTACTTCTAGGAGGAACCCAATCAAGGACCTTCTTCGGCAACCTGTCTCTTGCCATTCTCTGAACATAACCATACCAAATGAGTTGTTTCGTCATAATGTCATGCACAATGGTCTATTTGGCATCCATGATATCCCTGCATTCTCCTGAAACTGTTTCGTTTCTAACGCGATCCTTTCTAGGAATTATCCAGCAGGTCTACACCAGAAGTTCATCTCCATTGCCTCTAAAACCTCCTGGATCCGCTGTTTTGTAGGCCATATTTCACACACATAGGTTACTATGCTCTTGACAATCGCATTGTAAATCCTTAGTTTGTTCTTTTTGAAGATCTTTTGGTCCCAAAGAACTCAATTTAACATGACGATTGCCCTCCTAACCTGCATGTTTCTGTTCTTGATGGCCCAGTCCAATTTTCCATCCTGGGTCAGAAGAACTCCTAAAAATTTGTAAACATCGCAGCTTCCAATTGCCACCCATTGTCTAATTCTATACTTTGCTGATTCCTGCCAACAGTCAACTTTTCAGTTTTGCTAACATTAAACTCAATAAAATCAGTGCCGAACATAAAAAGCACAAACTTATTTTAGCTTTAACTAGAGGAAAAGAAAAACAGAGAAAACTGTAGTTACCACATTTTTTAAAAATTTGCTAGAGCCGCAACCACAATTGATTATCTGATCATGAACATACTGAAATGACTTAAAAAAATATTACCTAAGATTTTGTAGCCTTTCTTTTCCATAAGTGTCTTCCAAACAAGAGGAGTCTTATCAACCAAAATGAACTTATCTAGTTTTTCGGTTTGAGCTAAAATGTTACTGTCCGGACTAACTGCATCTCCACCAGAAAGGGACAGATCACATCGATTACCCCAAAGAGATGCCTGTAAATGACAGCATAAATTAGGTAAATGATGATGACAAAACAAAGAAGAAATTCATTTCAACCTGAGTCGAGGAGCTCAAAAGATTTATACATGAAACACAACTCTAAGTAGGGAGCCCATCAAAAATAGATCCCACCTACCGTCCCTATATAAAAGTGCTTTTGATGCAGAGAAGGTTTGAATAAAAATTTTTTTTTCATAATTCATCTCCTTTCACAGTTTGAAAAACCGCTTTTGACTAGAGATAGGATATAGCCCCTACATGAGCCCACTCTATTTAGAGATACCCATGAGAGGTCTGCGAAGTAAACCTTCGAGGGGGCGCCTTTGGGGGTGGGGAGTGATTTGAGCCGCGTGGCGGCCAGGGGTGTACCCCCTCGTATAGTAAAAAATGACAGGTGACTCAAAGGAAATTAAAGATTCTCACCTTAAGGTAGAGAATTAAGAATTTGCGGATTTCTTCTTGAGATAGCGTATTAACCTTCTTGAGGACTGAGTTAAGATGCTCTCCAAGAGCGATTATTGCTCCTTTTGAATTGACGAACGATTCCACTTTGCATTCCAGGAAAGGATCATAATTTTGCAAGTAAGTGCTGTAAGGAAATATAATCAGCTTGTGTTCACAAAAAATCTGGTGAGTACAACATAGAACAGGAAGCAGGGTTTGCAATTTCCAACCAAGTATTGCAATAAACATGATCGAAATTCGAAAAGTTCAATGAATCACTCAGTATCATCACCATTTATGGTCTTACTTTTAATAAGTGACTGAATCATCAGCCAGAGTCCTTAATTTTTAGACGAACGCCTAAACTTATGAGAGGGAAGTCAAAATACATTCCGTTTCTGTAAGAAATAGACTGTTTTGGATAAATGATTATAAATTTTCATCTCAGAATTACTGCACACCGTAGGAAATAGGGATATTTTTTCATACATTCGACCTCAAAAACTCTTGTTACATTTTAAATGTTTGGTAACTAACAAAGCAAGGTCTAGTAAAAATACTAATGAGGATTGATATCAGAACATGCTGGGCTGAACAGCATCACATGAGATAAACAAAAACAGAGGAGCCGATACACTGAATAACATGATTTATTATTATATATTATTTGTTACTATTAAAGAATACATCAAAAAAAGCACGGACCAAAAAAAAATTAAGCACATTAGAAGCATAACTGAAGAACATATACATATAACCTAAGAAAATAGAAATGCCAAGGCAGTAAACATAAAGGCAGAGGCAATACATATAAAGTCAGTAAAGTACATGACGGTAAGCATAAAAGCAGCAAAGACAAGTTATGAGCTTTACCCTTAGTGGGATAGGAAGGGGCAAAAAGCACTATTTTTCAAAATCACATGACGACCGCTCGTTATATAAACGGACCCGTGTTTTTTCTTGTTCCCGTCCTTTGCAGAAAGAAAAAAAAGAAATTAATCTGAGGATATGTAAGTCGGATATTGCGTTTTTAAGTTAAGTGCGGGAACAAAGTTTGCTGCTCTCATTATTCGACATGAATGACAAGGATAGGATAAAATTTCGTCGATTGAGTTAAAAGGAGAAAAAATTAAGAAAAGGAAGATACAATTTAATCAGGGAGAGTGCGATTATTTATGCGCACAGTAGACATTGTGCCTCTGGTCTGATTTTGGAGCAAGTCTTTTCAGTACTTTTTCACTATGCTGCCTTTACTCCTCTCTCTTAGTTAGTATCGGCTGTGCTGGGTACATTGTGTGAGGTCCGAAAAAAACACAAAAGGCAGTTCAGTTGTCAGCATTATGTATATTGTCTCAGATTCGTCGATAGTGTTTTTCGTTAGTTGGTAAACTTCAATAATTGCTAACAGTGCATTAAGGAGTGGAAAAGAGAAGATAAAGCAAACACGAAAATCCTTATAACTATATTTGATATATTTAATGAAGTTTACCTCCGCATCAAGATTGAAAACCGGAGGAAATTCACGTTTTGATAGGAGTTATCAGCTTAAGAAAATCAATGCGTAACGCACACTGCAAGCAAATATTGGGATCTAAAACATCTGTCTCTGGGACCAAAACTATTATTTTCTGTTAAAATTATGTTGTTAGACGTCGACTACCTTAAGCTCATACGAAGCTGGCAATAATTCTCCGAAATTTAAAAAAAAAAAAAAAAATTAATTTCCTCCGAAATATATCTTTGCTTCAAAACAGCGTTTTCCGTCAAATTTCCGAATTTTTTAAAAAATACCTCCGCGTCATGTACGCTCAAATATGTAATTTATATCAAAAGTAGTGTATTAGAAGTCAACTATCTTAAGCTTTCAGGACGATAAAAAAATTTCTTCAAACTTTAAAAAATCAGTCAACTCGCTGAAATGTATCCCATTTGCGCCTAAACAGCGTTTTCGGTCAAGTTTCCGAATTTTTAAAAAATCCATGCGCGTCTTGCACAGCATAATGTTCAATTTACATCAAAAGTAGTGTGTTAGGGGGCTATAATCTCAAATTTTCGAAGTTCTAGCGTGACTCCTTCGTCCTTCCAAAAAATAATCAAATCATCAAAAATCTCAAAATTATTGGGATCACAAATTTTGCAATTGTGCGATGAGGGAGCACTTGAAGATTTTACACTTTACGTATTTCTGGCAACATATCAATGGTCATAAATGAACTTGGTGTATCAAAATCATGGAGATATGTCAGTTTCAAGATGTAATGTTGAAATCAAACGGCGCTGGCCCGTTTTTAGGGTGAAAAAACGTGATTTTTTCCTAAAATTGGAAATTTTAGATGGACCGTGCCAATGGAAGGAGTTAGAGTTTTGGAAAAAGAAAAAACACGGGTCCGTTTACATTACAAGCAGCAACATTTCTGATACAGCCGTCATGCGATTTTGAACAAATGTGTTTTTCCCTCCATCATTTAGTATCAGTACAAGTATACGCTTGCGTATTAAGTAGCAGAGAAAAATCCTAAGTACGTTACGCAATTGTTACGCGCAGTATGTGAGTACAATGCGTTGCACGTGTAATTCTGACAGAGAATGTTAATGTGGCTTTGCTAAATTAAAGTACAAACTAATCTCTCGAAGAATATGCTTAAAATCTAGATCTTTTTTAGAGATGATAACTTGCCTTTACTGCTTTTATGCTTATTATATGCTATATATATATATGCTTTACCGCCTATACTTTACTGCTTTAAACGTATTGGCTTTGCCTTCATAGTTACAGCCTTGGGTTTTATATTTTCTTGAATTTATCCTGAGTATAGCTGCGTATTTGTTCTTCAGTTGCGCTTCTAATGTGCTCAATTTTTTATGATCCTTGTTGTTTTTTACGTATCTTTGTTCTGCGTCATTTGCTTCATTATGTATATTTGAATAAAGTAAACTCTATATTTCTTTAAATTAGCTTCTATTTCTTGATTATTTTAAATACTCCTTTAATAGTCTGCAGTAAAGTAGGATAAACAAGCTTAGAAAGGCCAAACTTTTACCTCTTAGTACAGAAAAAGTTAACACTGAAGCAAAGAGAAAGGGGGAGTGTACCAGAAAGAAGAGAGGTAAGAAAGTTGGGAAAGACTCTTAAGCGTAGTATTTTGGGAGTTTAAGATACTATGTGCGCACCTACGGCACTGGGCGAAATCAGATTGCGCAACCGCAGGTCCACCGGAGAGGGAATAGAATATTGGGGACAGATATAAAGGCGTATATTTTAGGGAGGTTTCTGACCGTTTCCCTCTAACCCTGTCTCCCTCTACCTCCCTTAAAATACCAAAGCGGACCCAAAGTGCGACCCAGAGATATGCTCATCGATTCGAGCGCATTTGCAAGGCTTTTTCTGTTGAGGGGGGGGGTGGAGTGGGTTAGAGTGTTTCTTTTTGAGGAGGAGGGAGGGCTTAAAGACTTTTTTGCACCCTCCCCCGACTCTGAAACATAAAAAAAAAAAACTTTGCCTCATTTTGCTAAAGAGATATCTGCTCCAAAATCAGTAATTTTCATCCAATTTAGGGCTAAAAATCTTCAAATCGATTTTATTTTCCAGAAAGTCAACTGAATTTGTTTGTTCAGGGCTTAAATTAACGTATTTAAATCCTACTTTAAGGTCCGAAAGAAAATCAGCAGTAATGGGTTTTTTCATTTAACTTCGGTTCAAAGAAACCGTGCTTCCCCTATTGCTTTTTCTGACATTCAGCAGGCTCTATTGATGAAAATGAATAAAGAAATACATTCCTTTTTGAATAGAAGGTAGAGAAATGGATTTGCTGAAAACCTAAATTTACTGTGTTGAATTCTACATTACAGTATTTGAAGCCTACAGTTAGAAGTTATACAATTTCCCATTAAAAAATCTATTGGTAAAAATCTCATCGGTTTAGTACATGTGTTTTCATGGTACTTTATGACTTGACCTTCATTTAACACAGTTTTTCACATCTTTTCAAGTCTAAATATTTACTTCTTGCCAGATCGGTGCATATTGATGGTTTCTCAGCTCCTCTGTCTTTTCATTAACCAATGAGTCACAGACCTGACTGGCCGAAAAATTTGATTTCACTGCAATAATTAGTTAAGTCCGTCATGTTTGCTTCCCAATGTTCTTCAAAAAATTGATACATCTTTATATCTGCAGGGCTGCCACAGGATTTAGAAAATGAAATTCCCTGATTTCCCTGACAAATTTTGAAATATTTCCCTGACATTTGAGGGTATGCGGGATGGTTAAAAAGAAATAATTTGAAATACTTTTCTTGAAAACATATGAGTTTTATGGTGAATAACTTATAAGCATCCACCCAACTTTTTGTTTACAACTTTACACCAACAGCAACTAGAAGAAGTTGCATCTTTGAAAGACCCATTATTAAAGAAGTTTTGGTTTATTACTTATGGTTTACTTCCTCAATGTTCACATTGACATCAGGCTCTGCTTGCCTGAGACTAAGAGTAGAAATTCTGCAATGCCTGGCAAATTTGTGAAGTATTTGCTGGGTGTCCTACCACTTCCACTTAAGACTTAAAGTAGGTAAAACTGAGTCTTTTGAACAAAATTAATGAAAAGAAAGGAAGTTTGAGCTAATCATTCATCACTTTCAAAATATTAAAAACCAGGAAAGCTTTGTATTTTACACCAAAACAATGCCCTCTTGCAAATATAAAACCTCATGGAGACAAAGGCACAAACACATAAATTAAAGCGAAAATGAACCAATCCACTTCCCCAGTTCAAAGAGCGACGCCAAAAACGACTGTTTTTTGGCACAATTTGGGCCAGCGGGGATTTTTCTGAAACTGAACCCAAACGATACCTTATGATACCCTAAAACTCTGGTTAAAATTTTAGCTTGAGTATACGCACGGTTTTTGAGAAATGAGGGGGCAAAGTTGCCAAATCACCATCATTCTGGACAACATTTAGTCCAGTCAATAGGGGGTAAAGTAGAGACAATTTCTGAGGAAACTTTCTGATATACTATTCCTATGTATTTTTCATCGCTGAATCCGAATTTCACATTTGCGAACAAATCTGAGGCGAGCCAAAGCCGCCATCTTGAAAAAATGGCCGAAATTTGCGTTTTTCAGCCGAAAAACCGAAATAAC